GGCCATTCCAAAAACTAATTATAACGTGTTCCCTAGAAGGCTTTTAGTAAAACTAAACAGTTAGAGGAAAAGGTCTCAGTACTTGAATCCAATTCTTGGTACGGTATGACCTGCCCTTCCAGGTTTCAGCCAGAATCATTAAGATGTGATACTTTCCTTCTGGGAGATGCAAGGATTTAGTGATCGGCCAAGATGACTCACCCAAAAGCACAACTGCTGAAGTTTGCATTTATTTTGGTGGTGAAAATAAGAAGGGGGAAAGAAATCTCAAGGAGAAAGCAACAAAAGGCAAAGATCCTTGTTGTCAAGATTAAAGCAGTGGTGTGCAAAACCAATCCTCTGGTGATGCACAGAGCTGAGAGAGGGTGTCTGGGAGCAGGAGCCCGACTCAGCTGCGTGGCTTTGCCCAGCAGAAGGGTTCATATGTCATTTTGATTTCACCTCACCCATATTACATAGATGTTTTCTTCTCCATAAAGAACTGATTTGAGTGAAGAGCATGTTTTAGCCAGGCCAGGCACTGCTGATCAGCCAGTGTCCCTTTCAGGGGACCTTTCCCTCCCTTCCTTATCCTATAATTGTTCATAAAAACAAAGACATATTTTTGCTTATCAAAATACCCATTGCTAGCCTTAGACTGGAGTAAGGAGGTTATTGCTGTGCCCAGCTAACCTCTTTCAGCAAAGAAAGTGCAAACGTGGCCTTTATTCTGTGCATTTCCTGGAGGAAAGGAGACCGGACAGGAATTCAGATAAGAAAACTAATGCTGTTGCTGTTCTTCATATTCTGTGAAGTATTTTAATGGGGATAACAATACACATTAGACATCCTGTTCAGTAACGTTTTTAGTACCCAGCTGAGTCCAAATATAAACTATAATGGCATATGGAGACTGTCTTAAGAGCCATTTCAAATCAATTTAGTTTTATATAGTGTCTCTCCAAGTCTCTCAAGGTGATTTACAGTGAAAAAGCAAATAGTGGGCTAGTGATTTAGTAGAGTAAGGCGTGGCAGCTGTCAGGCAGGAAGGCAAAAATGCTGCATGGAGATGCAAAGCTATAATTTAAAAGCAGGACAAAGCTAAATATATCTCTTTGCTCTTCCAGTACAAGAAGCAGCCAGGTAATGAAGCCAGGTTGGGTTCAGTTTAACTCAACTTTTCAGTGGAGCACTGAGGTCATTTACAGACAGACCTGGAACCTAAACCTTTTCCACTCAACTGCTGAGATTAGGAAAAAACAGGGAAGAAATATTTGTGACCAATTCATTTTAGCAGTTTTACCATCATATTTCACAACCTCAGAAATTTTAGACTTCCTGTGGGTTGGACTTTTGCCTTATGGGCTTATTAAGTCAAGAAGGCAGCTTTAAGTGCCTTTTTCATGGCAATTGTTAAAGCATAAAGCAAATTGCTTAAAGAAGCAAGACTCCAGTCAAAAAACCTTGACCTTGCTGGTGTGGCAGCCACTGAGCTGCTCCTGTGCATGGAGAAAGAGCAGTTCTGCAGAGAAGGTTTCAAGGGTGTGTCCAGCTACAGGACAACTCTTCTGTGGGTTCTCACTCTCCTGCTCACCACTCAAGTGAAGCTGCTAAGGAAGCCATAAGAATGCTTATATTTAGGCATCCTCAGCATGAAGATCACATGTGCTCCTCACATTTCCCTGCCATCAAACACTCCAGAATGGGCTGGGGGATATGACTGTGTCAGAGAACTCCAGGCAAGAGAGAGGGAATACCAATGTCTTCCTAGGTGAGGACCTGAGCACCCACAATTGTAGAACAGCTCAGGGTGGAAGGGACCCTTGAATGTTGTCTGGTACAACCTGTCACGGGAAAGGGGGCCTAGATGAGATTATGTAGTGCCCTGTCCAATGGCATCTTGGAAAGCTCCAGTGATGAGGACTCTGCCACATCCTTAGGGAGGTTGTCCCTCTGTGCCACCTCTTTGGAGGCCTGAACCACCCATGTTCCCTTCCAGGTGCCAGAACATGCTCAGTATTTGTCATGGCTGTTGCCTGTAGGTCAGGGAGACGGTGGAAGCCCAGCCTGCTTGTGCCATCCCTGGTGTCAGCTGGGACAAAACATTTCTGGCCTCTTGGCAGCTCCCCAGCGAGCACGTGGGAGCAGTTCAGGATGCCAGGGCTGTGAGGAGCCTGAATTGTGATCACTTGAAAAAGCACCACCCACTCTACCATCTTGGCAAGTGTTGGGTTTGTTTAGTGGCCTCGGGGCTGATGCTGGATGTTCTCACCCAGAGCTCTCCAGGTGGGAATTCACTGCTCCCAGTGGCTGGAGTCGGGTGATGGTGCAGTGTGGCTCCATGAGTGCCATGGGCTGTAGGTACTGGTGGGATGTCTATTCACCTGGGAAAGGACCTTCTTGTCCTTTCTGCTGTGCAAGTAGTACATGTTCTATCAAATAAAGTTCATGTTTCCTATGCAAAGGAACACACTTTAGAATGATGATACACTGACACATTGTATGTTAAATATGTATGACATTTAAAAACCTTAGAAAGAACTAAAAGTCATCTATAAATACTAAAGAGCACAAAGTCTACTTTTTGTTTTCATTTTGCTTCTGATCCTGCACTCTGAGAAAAATACTCTTCACATTCTAAGACTAAATTATCTGTCCAAGAACTAAACCTATAATTTTATTCTATCAGTCAAGCTGTATGTCACACTATTTTTATATTAAGACAATCAGGTTCTTTGAAGCACAGACATACACCCACTTAAAAGAAGTGTTCAGCTGAAAGCAGAAGCCTGTGGAATCAGTGGCAATTTGTGCCTTTCAAGAGACTGATAACTAAATGGAGAAATGCAGATCCTAATGAAAATAAGGTTTCTTTGCTGGCCAGGATGATATTCCATTAGGGTATTTGGGTCCAGATTAATTCCTTTGGACTGCAAGCATCTACCCTGGCTTTGAATCACTGACTTCTACTGGCTTGAAATGTGTCCTTTGGAGATACTTATTTCTCTGTCTTGCAAGAAAGGGCAGTAAGTAATCTGCACTCCTAACTTGAGTACCTTAGTCAGGTATCCAAAACAATATTAGATTAATCCAGGCCTTGCTCTAGTTTTTTAAGCATTTGTTGTGTGGGAAACCTGTCAGAAAATCTAGGATTCAACCCACTGTTATGGGACAGTCAACCTCACCTGTAGGAAGTATTTTCTGCCCTGCAGGGCTTACATGTTGCTCTGGGAAGATGCAGAAGTTTCTCACTAAGGAAAAAAAGTGCAGCAAGACCAATGCAGACATTGAAGCACCACCACCAGGGAGGCAGGTTTAGATTGCACATAAAGGAGCATGTTGGAAAGGACCACTGGAAGTCATCTAGTTTCCTTCTGCCCAAAGCTGTTAAGGCAACTTGCAAGTACCAGGAAAGTTCCAGGACTGACTGTAAATATGCTGTGCCAATTTTACATACTGAAAAAACCAGGTACAAGTCAAATAAGAAGTACAGGCAGAGAATGGAAACTCCAGCTCTGGAGCCCCAGTATTTTTCCTTCCTGTAACACAATTTACCATCCAGTAACCATTTTTTCTGGATGAAGAAGCAACTGTTCTCAGATTGGTCTTCACTGCACATTCACTAAGCTATTCCACGTGCTTCTGGCTGCACTAGGAATGGCAGGAGTGCCATGGGACAGCAGTGAGGGGCTGTGGCATCTGGAAACCCTCACCATCACTGGCTGAAGAGAAGCAGTGCTATCCTTCTCTCACTTCACTAGCTCTGCTATCAGCAAAATGCCTTTCCCCGTTTCCAGATGGGAACTGGAGCAGTGGGAAATATTTTTCCCCAGTATTTGTCCCTCGTTCCTCCTCTGACAGAGATTTTAAAACAAAAGGTCACTCTGGTGGATTTAAAAAGCAGTGGAACTTCATGCCCCTAATGAATGGGCAGCAGGAACTCGTACTGGCAGTGCTCAATGGCTGCACATGGAACCAGCCAGGCTCAGTAAATGAAACCAGATCCCAAAGTGCAGCCCGAGATAACCGAAAGTATGCATCGAAATTTATTGTAGGAAAATGACTGACTGGAAAAAGAGTGGTCTGCTCTGCCCCTGCACCTCCAAAACACATTGTACCACTTAAACACTCGAGAAAGACATCTGCCAAAAATGCCATTAATTCTCCTGAAGGTCAAACATATTTCTCTTGTAAAACAGTTGAAGCAGCAGTCGTGCATCTTTGATTACTCTTACGAAAGCAACTTAGGAAAAATCCTAGGATTGCTCTTGTGTTTGAAGTCGGATGTTTACTGCTCCCTGGCAGCGACTTTTGTTGCAAAGGTGAAAGGCGGTCAGGAAATGATGGTAACCGCCCCAAAACAGAGCCAGTCCCGGTGCAGCCTGTCCCAAATCCCAGCAGCGGATCTGTCTCTCTGTTTGGAGTGCCACCCTGTGGACACAGCTGCTCCCACGAGCTCCTGTCCTGCCCACAGCCCCGGGAGGCAACACTCGGAACCACCGCAGCACCTCCCAGCTCCAAACCCTGCTGCCTCCTGCCAGTCCTGCACGTCTCTGGATGCCCCGGGGAAAACGGTGCTGGGGGAGGAGTGGGAACTTCTGTACCAAAATACAGGGTTACGAAAGACCGTGTTTTGCCAGTCCTTTCTACTCAACAGTACATGAAATGCCACCACCACTCCTGAGCTGGACAGGAAATAATTGGGGCATCTGTTGGTAGCACTGAGATCTCTTGCATTACACCACAGAGCTTCCCACACTAGGAAACTAGAGAAGTCCCCTGCTTGTCCACAGATGAATTAAGCCCCTGGTAAGCTCAATTTCGTCCTTAGAAGTCAATCTCTGGATTGCATTATAATTCTTTTTTGTCTCTGACTATTTGTATAAGACTCACAGGTTTATTCACTGGAGATTGCCACCATAAATTTTAGAAGTCTGGCTTACAAAGCCTATAACAACCTTGTTTAGCAAAGGTGTGCCTTGCAGCATTCCTTCAGTAATGCCACTTTGGCTGCCCCTTACCTCTGGGGTGAGGTATTTCATCATGATTTCCTTTCCTTTCTCTCCCAGCTTTTCATCTGGAGCAATTTCATATTCCGCCTGGAACAGACATATAAAAAATAAAAGTCAATATTTGCACTCATATTTCACCATTATAACTTCATTTTGGATGTGGCCTTAACAGAACACTCTGTATGAAAAATCCAAAGGATAAATATCATTTTCTGGTGGAAGTAAAACCTCTATACACAGCCTTATTAAAATCCTGCCACTTTATTTTGACCAAATCCTAGTGGTGCATTTTCTGAGGCTGTCTCTCTTAATTAACACCAATACAATTTAATCCATTTATATTTCATAGCCTTGCCAAACCAGCTTTCAGAAAGCGTTCAGTGACAAGAGACGTCAACTTCATTTGGTTTTGCTCAAAAGGAAGGTGGGCACAGAAGGTAAAATTATTTCTCTGAGTAGTAGAGAAAGTGAATGTTTGTTACTCTTGTCACAGTGGTATTTCAAGTGCCAAGCGAACTCCTTCAATGTATAGTCTTTTGGGTTGAATGTGTCTCTCCCATGTTTTACGTCTTCCCCTTGGTCCAGCAACACTTGTGCAAAGCAGACAGACACTTGCCCATCACTTTCAGTGATCCTTGACCCATTCCCTTCAGAAGGCAGATTTTTCAGGATCAAGAGTAAACAAGAGAGGCCATTTAGAGGAATAGACACTATGAGCCAAATTCTCTTTGGCTTCCTTAGTGCATTAAAAAAAGGAGAATCTCACACACAAAGTTTGCCTACATTTTAAAATTCTGCCTATCCTATGGATTGTAGCACTACTGACTTTTGATGAGTTTCAGGACCATATTTACAGAACAAACAAAAGAAGTACTATTTGTGCACTGCCAAGACATTAATCACTTCAGTTCAAGCTTTGGATCCATGGCAGGCAGTCGAAGGAAGCACGTGCTGCATGGGACCCCAGTGGCTAAATGACAACAAGTTCTTAATGACATTCCTGCTTGGCACTGCCCAGAATATAAAGCTTTAGCCTTTGGATTCAAGTATTTTCAAGAAAAAAAAAAAAAGGAAAAGAAGAGAGCCTAACAGCTTTCATGGCTGTATTAAAAAGAGGATCCCAGAAAATCCTGCCAAACCAATTAAATAACCTGGTCCAATACAAGCTGTCTGCAATGATAAATGAGGAGGAAGTTTAAAAAAAAAAAAAAAAAAAAAAGAAGGTAAATCAGACTGAACTGGCAAACACTTGGAAGAACAAATTTCAGAACTCTTGCCCACTGGAAGATGTATGTACTGCTCTGAGCTGGGTGCAATAAATCTGAAGGCAGGCTGTAATGGATACCCCAGCTAAGCAAACCCAGGAATGACATGGAAACCACAATGTAGTAATAATGCTATTCCCCATCTATCTAGCCAGTGCTCAGCTGGCTCTTGCAGCTCCAGTCTGAAGCTGCATATTTACACACACACACACAGAGCAGGTTGCTTGAACAATCTGGAATTACGACCTGATTTTGTCTGGGAAATGACAATGACCACAAATAAAAGACAAACCTGTATTAGTGATGAAAAATACACCAAAAACTAAAACTCACAAGTACAGTACTTCTCTTTTAGTGACCATTTTGGGGATGAAACTGTTTACGTCCTCATAAAACTTAATATCAGGGTTTAAAAAAAAAAAATCTTTCATCCTATTTCCTGTCCTTTTAGATGGTATCTGAGTATGGGTCATTTCAGCTCTTAGAGCACAGACACTCTCAAATGTTTACAGCATCTTAACAGCATTTTCCTCCATGATTCCTTGCTAGGGAATAGAGGAATAGCAAGTGAAACAAAAAACCAGATTTTTTTAAAGCTGAAAGTTGCCTCTTATTTGGACCTTACAGTTTATGGTTAGATTCACAGACACACTAGATGCTTCTCATGTAAAAGAAAACAGAAATAATGCATTTTAATGAAAGAAAACATTTGTACTTAAATGTAACTGTCTATGCAGAAGACTGCAAAGAAAGGAAAACTTCCTGGCACTGCCTCAGCATGGAAGCCATCTAGGAGATCTTCTGAGTCCTCCACTCAATGCTATTTACAATTTATCCAATAATGACAACTTCTCTCTCCTTCATTTGGTTTTAAACTCTGGATCCTGGTAACATATTGGCTTCTTAACAAATAAAACCTGATTGTAAGTCATCATCTGCTATTTGAAGTGCACCAGGGAGATGTCAAAAAATTTGATATCCTTTTTGCCACAGATAACCTATAACATTTACATCCCACCCAAATTGTACAATGGGAAACAAATCAGGACAGTCCAGAAGAAAAAAATTCTGCAGGGATTGGATCAGTGTTTTGAAATACAATTCCTGATGGGATACAACATATGTAGAGCTAAATGCACACACATACACACACATATACAGAGTGTCTCATTCTGTCTCAAGATAGTTAGGAAGGAATAAAAGGAAAGTTTAATTATACTTGCATTTGACATTCCCAGAAAATGTGACACAGTGGTGGAAGGTGGGAAGTGACAGACAAGTGAGGATGTGAGAAGGAACCATAAGCTCCAACTGTGAACAGTGTTGATTTCACTGCAGTTCTGTACTAGAAGCCTGTTTCATTTTGTTTCTAAGTTCATTATTATTTCTCCCTTCAGTGCCACTTTCAAGCTATTCAGCAACAGATACTGGTATATTTTCAGCCATGAACTGTTATTACAGGAGACAGACAGGGATGCCCCCATGCTCCCCCTGCCACCTCCCTGGGAAGCCATCAAGGTCCTCAACTCTGAGTCCTGTGCTTAAATCACAAGATACATCCCTTTCTTCCACAATACTCAAAAGCACAGCTACAGTTTGCAAATCCCTAATTGCTAGAAATAACAGTGTTACTTAAAATCCATGTGGAACAAAATATTTTCCATTATTCCTTTGATGAATCCAGGCATGTGTTTCAAGGCTCCTGCTCTGAAGTCTAATAGCTTCTCCATGCCCCAGTTAGGTCAGACAGGGCCCTATTCATGGCTCATAAACGAGAGGAGGATTTACGATCACCCTGACTCCATGGGACGGGCTCAGGGAAGGCTCCTTCTGTGGGCAGGGGCAGATCCTTCAGTCCAAATGGCCAGAGGATGTGGGCTGGCTGCTGTTTGCTGCTAACTTTTCTTTTGGCTGCTGTTTTTTTTTGAGGTAGTACTTACTTTGGTGGCTCCTTCTCCCCTAGAAGCTGAACGGGGGCATCGGGGTGTGAAGTGTCCTTCCCTTTGAAGCAGCTGGTCTTGGGATGGGCTGAGTGGGATTGGATGGGAAAATGCAGTTCAGCTGGGAAAGGGAGAAACATCTAGCCTGTGGCTGGCTGTGGGATGGGGCCATGGCCTCAGGGACAGCTGAGCAAGAGGTTTGGAGGCTGCCTGTGATGGCTGGAGAGCTTCCAGGGCAATGGCACAGGGACCCCACAGGCACTCACATCAGCAGCTTTAATGCTGGCACACCAATTTATCTTGTATTTTATTTTCATCTTAATATTGCTTGAGATCTGGAAACTGTGTGGCTCAAAAATATGTGCAAATTGACAAACAGAGCCAAAGAGATGTCTCTGCAGATCTGGGAGGACACTCTCCCACAGCAGGTAGCTGATGGTTGCCTGCAGCAGCGTGGCACAGCCACAGGAGTTGTCCCTTGTACCCACCAGGAGATGGAGATGGGAATAGATACTCCCACCAGAGCAGTTTCGGCTTCTTGGTCAAGTCAGGGGCAGTGAAGTCACCTTCTGAGCACCTACAGGAGGCTACTGGCATTTCAGTCCCAATTTTACACCTCCACTTTCTCAGCTCCCTCCTCTGTTATCCCCAGAAGGTCTCTCTGCTCCTGCTCACTCCCTCCTTGGACTCCAGGCTCTGCCCTGTTATTGCTCTGTCCTCCATGGCTGTCCTTGCACTTGCCTCTGCTGGAGATTTAAAATCTGTGACTAAAAATTGGAAGGCAAACCCCAGACAGCTGGGATTCATAATAACTCGCATTTCTAAACGAAAAGTGAACTCGAAGCCACATTTTTCATACTTAAAGGCTGGGCAAAAAGAGCCCTTTTGACTGTTTAAAAACACGTTTTGAGTTAATGAGTTTGTTGATATCAACAAACTGGCATTTCTGATGGAAAAAGCCTTGAACAGCTTTAAGACACACATACACAGATGGTTTATACACCATGTAAGGGACTTAACCAAATGAAATTTCCCTAACAGCAAGACAGGGTTTTTATAAATGGCATTAAATGGATGCTCACTCGTCCTTTCACCCCAGATAAGTGCAATGTCTAGTGAAGCGTTCAGCTGAAAAGTCCACCTGAGGAGATGTGCCTGTCACCCCAACCCCTGAGCCCAGATATCATGAGCAGGGGCCATTTTCCTCCAGAGGATGTATTTCTGTGTGACTTCAGTGCAAAGAAATAACATTGGTCAGGTTAGAGAGAAAACAATGTCAGGTTATTTTCTCCTTCACCAAAATGGGCCACGTTCTCCTCTAGTCAATCTAAATCTGGTCTGCATTAAAATGTTAAAAGCCCTCCCCCGGAAAAAAAAAAATAAATTATGCATGTGAGTAGATGAAGCAGGAAAGGGAGTCCAGAAGCTAAAGTCTCCATTATAATAGCACATAAAAATCACAGGAGAGGAGAGGGAAATGTCAGGAGCTGGCACCCTGGGAATGTGCTGTTGAGGAGGGGACAGGAGCAAGAAGTCCTTGCCGAACTGAACTGCTGCTCTCTTGTCCTGGAAGCACTGGCTGCAGAGAAGGAAACATGTCTTGCTAGCACATTCCCTGCTCACTGATCTGCCTTTCAGCACAGGAAACATATCCACTCGCACTTTATTTTCATGGCTGTCTTTCAACAGCTCCAAAGTTGTACAATGTCGCTAAAATATTTGTAAGCAGAGCAAAGTGTGCTTCAGGGCTGTGCGTGAATTCCTTGTGAAGGGCTTACAGAGGAGCTGATTTAGTCTTAAACCATCTCTGTTTAACAATAGGAGTTTATGTTCATGTAGTTCCTTCATCTGAATGGCGACATGAGGGTTTGGTGAGCTATCC